TGTTACACAGCTGGTGCTGTGATCCTGGAGATCCCTGCCTATCCCATGACTGAGGGAGGACTCTGTGACTCTGCGCTGTACAAATAGAAATCAGGAAACAAACCCAAACCCCAAGGTTGATTTCTACAAAGATGGAGTACTCATCAGGAATGAGACCACAGGAGAGATGACCATCCCTGCAGTATCCAAGTCAGATGAAGGCTTCTATAAGTGTAAATCTAATGAAGGAGAATCACCAGAGAGCTGGGTGACAGTGAGAGGTGAGAAAATAATTATGATCACCTTACATTTGTATAATATCTGTGGTCATCAGTGATTTGTATTGTTAAAAAGCATACTGTAGGTTTGGAGTTGCAAGCTCAGGCTGGTCATCTGATCTCAAGTCAGTTGTCAAATACATCATGTATCTACAGAATTGTTTCACTTTGTCCACTACTTTATTTATTTTCTATAACTACCTCAGAGTCTGATGGTGATTTGTTGTTCTCTCTCCAGGCATAACTCCTGGACCCTCTACATCAGTCCTAGTAGTAGTGGTTGTGGGCCTGGTTGTTGCTGGTGTTCTGCTGGCCATTCTCCTGGTACTGCTGTGTCGATATAAAAACGCCAAAGGTGAGACTTTTATCAATTCTCATTTAACTTGTTTAAGAGACAAATGTCTCATTTCAAAAGTTCAAAACAATAATGTCCTGATATAATTATATGCATTTTTCATTACAGGTTCCTGTTGTAACAGGATATTCTCGTGAGTACACCTGTCTTTCAACTACATTCCTTTTCATACAGTAAAATATCATCTGTGTGTTTCATGAGTATCTCTCTCCATGTAGGCCCCCCCAGCCACACAGCACCAACCTGGACCCCAAACAGGACCAAGGATCTACCCAGGGCCAGGCTCCTGATGCTGGGTATACACGTCCGCAGCATGGTCAGTCTCACAGCCCAGATCACTATCACTCTCCTCTCTCTGTAACTTCATCCAGTGACATTTCACCATCCACTTTGTGTTAAACATGTTAATGTACTCTGTCCCTAGGCAATCTGAGGCATAACTAACTAATTAATCTTTCTCTCTCTTCTTTGACCAATTGGTGGCGCTAACATCTACGGTACAATCACTCCCTCAGACAATAATGACAATGGTACTGTTAATGTATGTTAAGTTTAGCATGAATACAGTATAGAGTTGTTGTTGCAGTTGTTCTTCATATGTTTAATATGACTAGCATACTAAGACTAAGTAGAGATATTAGTGTATTACCTGTATGTTTCAGATGCTGCTGCTGCTACTGCTGGACCAAGTGATGTGATGTACGCCCAGATTCAACTCAAAAAGTTGGACAAGAAAAAGAAAAGTAATTCTTAACTGTCACATAAATTAATACAAAATGTAGCATTGTTTTTTACTCATCAAATTTGATACAAACTTACAAATTCTCTCCTCCTCCTCCTCTTCCTTCCCCTCCTCCTCCTTAGAAAAGCCAGCTGTTCCAAAAGAAAATCCAGTCTATTCTGAGGTCAAGACAGGGAAGGCCACAGGTAAGACCCATTCTACAGGTCGGCAGTCAGTGAAATCTAAATGTACAATTTTGGAATTTCAATGAAGATGCAGAATATGCAATAAGCTATTTCCTTAATTTGTTGACTGGATATTTCCATTTTCAGCAGCAACTGGACATGCTGAGGTTGACCTTAAACAGAAGGCCAAAGCCAAGAAGAAGAAAGGTAAGACTAGAAATCCCTCCTTCCATATTCCCCCTATCATAACCTCACACCTCTTTGACCCCATATTGACTAGCTGTATATTATTATGTATTTAACTGTTCTATTATTCTGATGTTTATCCTCACCCCTTACAGAAACAGAAACCCCACCTGAGGCAGATTCGGTCTATTCTCAAGTGAAGCCAGTCACAGCCCCAGGTAAGACTAATAGCCATATGCTATTGATACTTAATATGATACTAATATGGAACTATTTCTCTGAAGTATAATGTATGTATTTAAAGTACGTATTTTTGTTTGATTCTTAAGAGTTTGTTTGACTGCATGTCCTAAACAACTTTGTGTGGTGATATGTTGCAGGACCTTGAGGGGGGCAGGGATGGAGGAATGGAGGGATGGAGGGATTGAGGGATGGAGGGATGGAGTGATGGAGGGATGGAAGGATGGAGGGATGGAGGGATGGAAGGATGGAGGGATGGAGTGATGGAAGGATGGACGGATGGAAGGATGGAAGGATGGAGTGATGGACGAATGGAGGGATGGAGGGAGGAATGGAGGGACACACCATCAGAGGAGGAGCGGAAGGAAACGCGGGAACATGGATTATGAATGCTCAATGCACACAAGCAAACAGACACACACACAATAACACCTTGTACTTTAAGTTTTTTTTTCCGTATTTTATTTACCAATAGATATATTTTACTTAAGCATGGTTTAATTGTGTATTACTGTTACAGCTTTATATAAAAATATAAGGTGTAATGATAACGGATCTTATCTGCAGCTACAGGAATTATCTGCCTTGTATTGTGTATTGAGTATTATTGTTTTGTTGTAAATGTGTTAAAATGTATTATCTTTAAAGTATTATATCTGTCATTCAGATGATACAATAACATATTTGTATATGAATTTCCAAAATATTATAGGTATTATTCAAATTTTCTTCTAATGACCTGTACTTTTACAATATCTTTGCATTGTGATTTTTTAATAAACTATTTTTATCCACCAGATGGCGGGAGTGCTTTCTTACAGTAAATGGATATTCTCACCATCATCAACTTTTCCATATAACCTGCTTTGGTCAAACCTCCTTTCAGCCTAATATAGATCTTAGGCTCCTAAATGTGTGAGTTAAAGTAAAAATGCCGTACCCCATTGAGATTTTCAGAATGACTTTTTGGGGAAGTGTGCCTTCTCAGTTTTATGATGTCATATTCAAACAGACCACCATAGTCCCTGTGCCCAAGAAAGCGAAGGTAACCTTCCTAAATGATTAGTCCTCTCCTGTACTCCTTGTTCACCCACGACTGCGTGGCCAAGCACGACTCAACACCATCATTAAGTTTGCTGACGACACAACAGTGGTAGGCCTGATCACAGACAACGATGAGACAGCCTATAGGGAGGAGGTCAGAGACCTGGCAGTGTGGTGCCAGGACAACAACCTCTCCCTCAATGTGAGCAAGACAAAGGAGCTCATCGTGGACTGTAGGAAAAGGAGGGCCGAACAGGCCCCCATTAGCATCGACGGGGCTGTAGTGGAGTGGGTCGAGAGTTTCAAATTCATTGGTGTCCACATCACCAACGAACTATCATGGTCCAAACACACCAAGACAGTCGTGAAGAGGGCACGACAACACCTTTTCCCCCTGAGGAGACTGAAAAGATTTGGCAGGGGTCCCCAGATCCTCAAAAGATTCTACAGCTGCACCATCGAGAGCATCCTGACCGGTTGCATCACCACCTGGTATGGCAACTGCTTGGCATCTAACCGTAAGGCGTTACAGAGGGTAGTGCGTACGTCCCAGTACATCACTGGGACCAACCTTCCTGCCATCCAGGACCTATATACCAGGCGGTGTCAGAGGAAGGCCCAAAGAATTTTCAAATACTCCAGTCATCCATGTCATTGACTGATCGCTCTGCTACTACACGGCAAGCGGTACCAGAGCGCCAAGTCTAGGTCCTAGAGGCTCCAAAACAGCTTCTACCCCCAAGCCATAAGACCGCTGAACTATTGATCAAATGGCCACCTGGACTGTTTACATTGACACCACCCCCCCCCCCCCCCCCCCCCCCCCCCCCCCCCCTTTATTTTTTATGCATGTTCACAATGTACAAATTATCTTGACTAACCTGTACCCCCACACATTGACTTGGTACCAGTACCCCCTGTATATTTCCTTGTTATTGTTATATAATTTTCTTTTGTTACTTTATTTTTTACTTTAGTTTATTTAGTAAATATTTTCTTAACTCTATTTTTGAACTGCATTGTTGGTTAACGGCTTGTAAGTAAGCATTTCACAGTAAGCTCTACACCTGTTGTATTTGCGCATGTGAAAATGTATGCACTCACTAACTGTAAGTCGCTCTGGATAAGAGCGCCTTCTAAATGACTAAAATGTCAAATGTAATGTGACAAATACAATTTGATTTGATATGATTTGATATCCTGTCTGCAGGAGTTCTGAGGAGCTGGTCAGTACTGGTACTGTGTATCACTTCCTTTTAATATTGAAATGTGGACATGCAAGTCTATGATGGCAAAGGGGTCTTCTAAGTAAGCAAAGGTCAGACTCATGGGCCAGGGTCTGGTATTTACATGGAAACAATACTGAATATTTGTATTACTGTGTTGAATTCCAGGTAGTAACCTACGGATGCATGATTACCAGTTCTCCCATATTGCCTCCTCATCCTAAAGATAGGTCATGCCGAATAATTACATTAGTGGTGTATGACTATTTTCAGTATCCCTGCATGGTATGGAAGGTCACTATTCCAGTTAGGGGGTTTCTATGTCTATGTGTTTATGTCTATGTGGTCAGACAGACAGCCAGCAGTCATTGGCACTGCTCCTGAGAAAACAGAAACTGGAAATGACATCACCACAAGATGTTACCTGAAACGTAGAAGTGGGGCCTTTGTCAGAAACCTGGGACCCAATACCTTCTGAAAAAGTTGGCAGGTGTTTCATATCCCTCAGCCACACTGTCCTATGACCATGCAGAAGAAGTCATGCAAACACTTCTCCAGACATATGAAGCCTAGATGAAAATGCACACACACATATTTTCTCTCTCTCTCGCTCTCTCTCTCTAACCCCCCTCTCTCGCTCGCTCTCTCTCCCCCTCTTTCTCTCTCTCTCTCTCTCTTTCTTTCTCTTTCTTTCTCTTTCTTTCTCTTTCGAGAGAGAGCTTTTTTCCAGCCATGCTCCTACAGTGCAGCAGTCTGATATTGGCAACATTAGCTCTGGTGTGATGGCTATGAGAGTCTACTGAAATTAAAATAACCAGACAGGTAACTGGGGGCAAGGTCATGTCTCACTTTAAAAACCATCAACATTTTGATCTGCAGCACCACCAGATCAACTGGAAGCCAGCTAAGTTCCCTGAAATGATTAGGACCAATGTGCGTCCCAATGGCTGAGCTTCAGTATAATTCTCATTAGTTTGTTTTGGGTCGTTTGAAGTTTGTCCTTCAGATTTTGTGATACGCCACTGAACCATGAGATAGAAGCATAGCCATAGTGGCACCGTATCAGAGATGTTTCCAGGGTCCTCATACTCTCTGTATACAGGAACTTGGCTACCCTTGCCAGGAACTTTGTCCTGCAGTGAACATTTCCAATGACCTTCAGAGCCATAAGTTCATATGTCATGTGTTGGTCCAGTTCACATCCCAATGTATGTTACAGAGCATTTTTCCTTCACCGCTACACCATTAAACTTGACCGAGAAGTTGAAAGAGTTTCTCACTTTGTGTTTGGAACAAAAAGGGATACTTTCTGTCTTGCCTAAATGGATAACCACTTACTGACTTTAGTCAGTTGGCTGCTTAGGGTCTTTTCAACGGTCTCCTTAGTCTCATGTGACACCAAAGGGTAGAATCATCCTCACACAGGATCTATTGCATGTGCTTTCTTACATGATAACTCTAGGAAAACCGTTAGCTTTCTCTAAATTAATTGTTGGTCTTTGCATGGTGTGTGTTGACTGTAGAATGCCTAGTCATCAGTGATTGGTTGGGTATCTCGAAACATTTGCTTTATTACTGTATGATAACACGTACATAATACCTATATTCAGCAACATATCATGATGTATTGATTCTGCAGTTTTGAATGAGTGCCAATGGTGTGGTTGGGTCAGCAGCTGTTGCAGTGCTACTAGAACTGAAAAGATCTTATGACCCTGTGCTAGATGCATGTCACTCTTTACATTTAAGGCAATACGGGACTGTATGGAATGATTGTTTCTATTACATAATAAGATAAACTGTAGGACTAGGATAACTGCAGTTATGCCCTAAATACCACACTTAATTGAGCTGTAACTTTATTTTGTATTAATTCATGACAGAGCTGTTTTTGTGTAAGGGTTTATAAAACATCACTCCAGACTGACATGTATTTATAATGTATTTATAATGTATTTATAATGTTGCCCATGCAGTATATGATGCATTTCTGGTGAGTAATTACACAGTAACCACAGTGGGATTTGTACTTGTGAGCTGAGGAGGAGTTATCAGATCCACCCCCACTTCTCTTTTCCTGTCATCTCATCCTGTTCTGCTGAATGTGGGGGAGGAGTGGACTTTAATGAAGTAAAATAGGACCCACACACTCAGATATGTACAGATATAAAGTGCAAATATGTAAAGTGCCATTTACAGTATAAATGAAACCTGGAAAAGCACTGTATAAATCCAAGCCATTATTATCTATTAATTGATTGTGTAACACTTTGCATTGCAGTGTATTATTGTTTCATTATTCATGTAGGCACACTGTAACAAATATTACAACGTAACAATGAGTAATTACAATACTTGCTACACTATACTTACATTAATAATTATACAGTGAAAAGATCATTGTAATATAGAATGCAACCATTGATTGATGTCAGAATAACATATATATTTGTGTTTTTCAGGTGTGGGTGTTCCTCTGTTCATCAACAAGACAGTGGGGGACTCCATGGAGCTGCTGGCAGGCTTAGAGAGGGGACATTACAAATCATTGCAGTGGAAGTATAGAGGAAAGGATATTGTAGAAGTCAACTCAGAAGTTGTATATTCACCTAGATCCCAGTTTGAGGGGAGACTAAAGATGAACAACAAAAACTTTAGTTTAACGGTCAGAGAACTGCCACTGCAAGACTCAGGGGATTTTCTAGTTACAGGCGAAGGGGACAAAGGTCAGATTGGCGGTAGGACCATCACTCTGAAGGTCAACGGTAGGCTGTTATCACCTTTTTGCATCCTATTTTGATATCATTCTAATTTATATCCATGACCACGGCTGATGATTTTTAAACTATAATGAAGATTTGTTGGTTTTATACTGACCTTACTCACCATGCTTTGATACATTTCCATCACATTATCAAGTTTTATCCTCTGTCGTCTTTCTCCTGGTGGTATGGCTATGGTAGGGTTCATTTAGAAGACTGATTATGAGTCTCTATCTCTCTCCTGGTTGGTCAGAGCCTATATCCAAGGTGGTGATCCAGACAGACATCAAGCTATTGGCCAACCACTCCTGTACGGTGCGGCTGGTGTCCAACGTGTCCTGATACTCCAACCTTACATACACCTGGGAGAGAGACAACGAGATGTACGGGGACGCCCAGCAGATTCACTTCTCTCTCTCTCCTGCAGAGAGAGACATCAGTGTAACGTGCAACGCCTCCAACCTAGTCAGTTGGAAATCTGTCTTTGCGATAGTAAAGGGTGGTAATGACAAAACCTGATACCTAGATATCATAATAATACCTTCCATACACTTTTCAGTGTGCTTATATGCTTATGTTGTCCATTCCATACACTTTTCAGTGTGCTTATACGCTTATGTTGTGTGAAGCTTGTCAGGTTTTGGCCATGACTGTTCGGGTTTTGGTCACTAGATGTCCCCATTGCACCTTTTTTGTACCTTTTGTTTTTCTTGCTCTAATTATTGTTTGCACCTGTAGGTCATTCCCTTGTTAGTATTTATACCCTGTGTGTTCCTCAGTTCCTTGCTCAGTGTTTGTAAGTTAGCACCCAGCCCCAGCCCAAGCCTTGTTTTATATAGATATTTCTCTGGTGGGATTTTCCAGAGGTTCTCTGGTCTAGTTCTTGTGTTTTGTTTGAGTAGTCTTTTGAGGTTTGTTTTTCCCTGCTGTTTTTACCACTTTGTGGAGTTTCTTTTGTTTTTTGGAGGTTTTCCTCTTTGTGCCTCTTGGCTTTATTTTTGGACATTGTGGATTTAGTTTCTTTGCCTGAAGATTTTGTTCTTTAATTAAACCACCATCTCTAGTACAGCTGTGTCTGCCTCATCTTCTGGGTTCTGACAATTATTAGTGACTGTTTTTCGCACCGGGTCGTGACAGAAACACTGAGCCATTATTATGAACCCAGAGGCAGCCAGTACCCAGGATCTTTTTTCCATGCTGTCCCACCATGAGGGGACTGTCCAACGCCACGAAGCTGCTCTGGTTCAGCAAGAGGCCTTAATGGCTAGACATTCTCAACTTCTGTCAGAGATGCTGACTTCCATAAAGCAGATTTCGGATCGACTTTCCCCGGCAACCGCTTCTGCTCCAGTTCATCCGATTCAAGGGCCCCTGGCAGTTAATCCCCTGGCTGAACCTCGTCTGCCGCCTCCCCAACGGTTCTCAGGGGATCTGAGTGTTTGTAAGGGGTTTTTCACCCAATGTTCTCTCTCCTTTGAGCTGCAACCATCGTCGTTTCCCACCGACCGGTCCAAGATAGCATATATCATCACTCTGCTGTCGGAAAAGGCCCTAGCCTGGGCTACTGCTGTGTGGGATGCCCAAAGTCCCTGTTGTGCCAGCTACTCTACCTTTGCTGAAGAATTCAAGCGAGTGTTTCAAGGTACTACCAACGGCCCTGACTCAGCCAAACAGCTCCTGACTCTCCGCCAAGGTCGGCGCAGCGTGACGGACTATGCCATCCAGTTCCGCACTGTGGCAGCAGCAAGTGGCTGGAACGACGAGGCGCTCACAGTGTGTTTTTTGAAGGGTCTTTCTGACACCATCCAAGATGAACTGGCCACTCGGGAACCACCGGACAACCTCGAGTCCCTTATCAAGTTGGCTTCACGCATAGACCAGCGTCTGAGAGAGAGAGAACAAAACCATAGACCGCTCACCCTAGCTCCTATCGGTTCCAGCTCCGAGTCTCCACCTTTATCCTTGCTGGCCCCACCAGAACCCATGCAGGTTGGACGCATCTCCCAGGCTGAGAGAGACCGCCGGATGAGGGAGCGATGCTGTCTATATTGCGGCAAACCGGGCCATTTCCGCTCCACGTGTCCCGGGCTCCAGGGAAACGCACTCTCCCGTGCAGGCCTGGGAGGACTGTAACGGGAAACATAACCTCCTCCCATCCATCCAACTCCCGCCTGCTCATTCCAGTTACCCTTTCCTGGGACGAACACGAGTTTTCTCTTCAAGCCTTGGTAGACTCTGGAGCCGCAGGTAACTTCATGGATGGGATCTGGGCGAAGGAGAATGGCGTTCCTTCTGAACCTCTAAGTGACCCCATAAGGGTTACTACGTTGGATAGAAGTCCTTTGGGATCTGGACTTGTCACTCGTGCCACTACCCCCTTACGACTTTCAGTTTCCCAACACCAGGAAGTGATGAACTTTCATCTGATCTCCTGTTCCGAGTTTCCTCTCGTCCTTGGTTATCCCTGGCTTCACAGCCATAACCCTCACATCGACTGGTCTGTGGGCACTATCAAGCAGTGGGGTCCTACGTGCCAAGCCACTTGTATCTTCCCGAGTTCCCAGAGTTCTCCTTCCGAGTCTCTAGAATCCATCGACTTGTCCCGAGTTCCCGAGTGTTACCATGACCTCAAACTGGTATTTAGCAAACAGAGGGCCACCAAACTACCACCCCATAGATCTTACGATTGCACCATCGACCTGTTGCCGGGGACCTGCCCTCCCAGGGGTCGGATCTTTTCCCTTTCTCCTCCCGAACGAGCTGCTATGGATACCTACATCAAGGACGCTCTGACAGCAGGCCTCATGCGTCCATCTACCTCGCCGGCGGGAGCAGGGTTTTTCTTTGTGGCCAAGAAAGACGGTGGATTACGACCTTGCATCGACTACCGGGGACTCAATGCCATAACCGTCCGTAACCGCTACCCGCTACCTCTTATGGCCACAGCCTTTGAGCTGCTCCAGGAAGCAGTTGTCTTCACTAAGCTTGACCTGCGGAACGCATACCATCTTGTGCGGATCAAACCCGGGGACGAGTGGAAGACCGCTTTCAACACGCCTACTGGTCACTACGAATACTCGGTGATGCCCTTCGGCCTGACCAACGCTCCGGCTGTGTTCCAAGCGCTCATAAACGATGTGCTTAGGGATATGCTTAACATCTTTGTGTTTGTTTACTTGGATGACATCCTCATCTTTTCGAGCTCCCTTCAAGAACACACTAAGCATGTCAGACAAGTGCTCAAACGCCTCCTGGACAGCCATTTGTACGTTAAGCCGGAGAAGTGTGAATTCCATTCCTCTCGAGTACAATTCCTGGGATTTATAGTGGAACCCGGACGAGTCCAGATGGACCCCAAGAAGGTAGAGGCGGTAGCGGATTGGCCCACCCCCAAGTCCGTTAAGGAAGTTCAGCGTTTCCTGGGCTTCACCAACTTTTACCGCAAGTTCATCAAGAACTTCAGCTCGGTGGCAGCCCCTCTCTCGGCGGTAACCAAGGGTGGCAACACAAGGTTTCTGTGGGGAAGAGAAGCTGAGACGGCCTTCCAAGGACTCAAGCAGCGCATCCTCTCTGCTCCCATCCTGACACTACCAACGGCGGATGAACCTTTTGTGGTGGAGGTAGACGCATCAGAGGTTGGGGTTGGAGCTGTCCTGTCTCAGAGGGGTGAAGACAAGAAGCTTCATCCTTGCGCCTTCTTCTCTCACCGGCTTACCCCGGCCGAGAGGAATTACGATGTGGGGGATCGTGAACTCCTAGCGGTTAAGATGGCATTGAAGGAATGGAGACACTGGCTTGAGGGGGCTTCTCAACCGTTTCAAGTGCTTACGGACCACAAGAATCTGGAGTATATCCAGCAGGCGAAGCGGTTGAACGCCAGACAAGCTCGATGGTCTCTGTTCTTCAGCCGATTTCAGTTTATCCTCACCTATAGACCCGGGTCGAAGAATCTCAAACCGGACGCCTTGTCACGAATCTACTCTCCTGCCATTCGAGAAGATACTGACATGACTGTCCTTCCGGCCGCTAAGATCGTGGCTCCGATCTCGTGGCAAGTGGAGGATACCGTGAAACAAGCTCAAGCCATCGAACCGGGCCCTGGAGGAGGTCCTGCTAATCGGTTGTTTGTTCCCAAGGCAGCAAGGTCCCAAGTCCTTCGGTGGGGGCACTCCTCTCGCCTCACCTGTCACCCGGGCGTAGGCCGCACCTTGGAGTTCATCCAGCGTAAGTTCTGGTGGCCCACCATAAAAGAAGACGTTGCCACTTTCATCAAGGCCTGTTCCGTGTGCTGCCAGGGCAAATCTTCTCACCTCCGCCCTCAAGGACTTCTTCACCCTCTATCTATTCCCCACCGACCCTGGTCCCATATCTCGTTGGACTTTATTACTGGCCTTCCTCCGTCCCATGGTAATACTACGATCCTAGTCATCATCGACAGGTTTTCTAAGGCGGCCAGGTTTGTTCCTTTGACCAAATTACCTTCTGCCAAGGAAACAGCTGAGTTGGTGATTAACCATGTGTTCCGAGTCTTTGGGATTCCGCAAGATATGGTTTCCGACAGAGGTCCCCAGTTCGCCTCAAGGTTTTGGAAGGCCTTCTGCCAACTCATAGGGGCCACGGCCAGTTTATCTTCAGGGTACCATCCGGAGTCCAATGGCCAAACTGAGAGGATGAATCAGGAGCTGGAAACCACCCTCAGATGCATGGTTTCCAACAACCCGTCCACTTGGTCATCCTTCATTGTTTGGGCCGAGTACGCGCACAACACTTTGTGCTCCTCCTCCACTGGTATGTCCCTGCATGAGTGTCAGTTTGGCTATGCGCCTCTATTGTTCCCGGACCAGGAGGCAGAAGTCAGAGTGCCTTCAGCCTCGAGGTTCATCAGACGCTGTCGGCTTACGTGGAAGAAGGCACGTCTTAATCTTCTGCGTTCCTCTCAGCAGTACCAACGACAAGCCAACAGAGGTCGCCGTCCCGGTCCTACCCTGTACCCCGGCCAGAGAGTATGGCTCTCAACTAAGAACCTACCACTACGGGTGGAGTCTCGCAAGCTGTCCCAGAGGTTCATCGGTCCCTTTAAGATTGCCAGGAGAGTCAATCCCGTTACTTTTCGCCTGCACTTACCCAGATCACTTAAGATCAATCCAACATTTCACATTTCTTTATTAAAACCTGTTGTTTTTTCTCCCCTTATCCCGGCAGGCAGACCTCCGCCCCGTGTTATCGGTGGCCAGTCGGCTTATACCGTCCACCGGATACTGGATTCCCGCCGGGTGCAGCGGTCCTGGCAGTATCTGGTGGACTGGGAAGGCTACGGTCCCGAGGAGCGCTCCTGGGTTCCT